TTGAATTCCCAGGGATGAACTCCCAGGGATGAACTCCAGGGATGAACTCCCAGGGATGAATTCCCAGGGTTGAATTCCCAGGGATGAACTCCAGGGATGAATTCCCAGAGATGAATTCCCAGGGATGAATTCCCAGGGATGAACTCCAGAGATGAACTCCCAGGGATGAATTCCCAGATTTGAATTCCCAGGGTTGAATTCCCAGGGATGAACTCCAGGGATGAACTCCAGGGATGAGCTCCCAGGGATGAACTCCAGGGTTGAGCTCCCAGGGATGAACTCCAGGAATGAACTCCAGGGATGAATTCCAGGAATGAACTCCAGGGATGAATTCCCTGGAGCTGAATGAGGATGAGGCTGATCCAGACTCTCTTTGCTTCCCTTCCCAGGCCCTGGGATCCCGATCTTCCCGACGATGTGGAAGGGATGAAGCTGATCCTGCACATGTGGGTGGCTCTGTTCTACAGGAAGCCCAGCAAGCTCCTGAGCAGCTCCAGGAAAGTGGTGGAGCACAGCAATCCCAGGAAATTCGTCTCCATCAGCAGCTCCGGTGGCTTCCTGGAGCTCAGCGACGACAGCCAGGACTGCTTCGGCCTCGAGACGTGTCCTGCGGACTCCGGCTCCGACGCCGAGCAGATTCCCAGCAGCTCCCTGGATGCCAGCAGCCCTTCCCAGCCCCAGAAAGGCCCCGCGGATTCCCGGGCGGACGCGGCCGGAGCCGTGGACAGCACGGTGTCCTCCTCCTCGGGGGAGCTGCCCTGCGGGGACGAGGAGGAGCCTTCCTCCACCAGCTGTCCCGAGAGCCTCTCCCTGCTGGAGGCGTCCAGGGAAGAGCTGGGTGGGGCAGGCAGGGAGCCGGAGGACATTCCCGAGGAGGACATTCCCGAGGAGAGCATTCCCGAGGAGGAGGAGGCCATTCCCGAGGAGGCCATTCCCGAGGAGAGTGTTCCCGAGGAGAGCGTTCCCGAGGAGAGCGTTCCCGAGGAGAGCGTTCCCGAGGAGAGCGTTCCCGAGGAGGCCATTCCCGAGGAGGCCATTCCCGAGGAGAGCATTCCTGAGGAGAGCATTCCTGAGGAGAGCATTCCCAAGGAGGCCATTCCCAAGGAGAGCATTCCCGAGGAGGCCATTCCTGAGGAGGAGGAGGCCATTCCCGAGGAGGCCATTCCTGAGGAGAGCATTCCCGAGGAGAGCATTCCCGAGGAGGCCATTCCCGAGGAGGAGGAGGCCATTCCCGAGGAGGAGGACGCCATTCCCGAGGAGGAGGACGCCATTCCCAAGGAGGCCATTCCCGAGGAGGACATGCACAACGTCTCCAGTGTCACCACGGTGAGTCCGGCCTTGGGAGGCTCCAAGAATGTTTTCCTCTCAAAAGAGCAGGATTTTCCTCTCAGAGGAGCAGGATTTTCTTCTTAAAACAGCAGGATTTTTCTCTTAGAAGAGTAGGATTTTCTTCTTAAAAGAGCAGACTTTTCCTCTTAGGGGGAAGCAGGATTTTCATCCCTTAAAAGAGCAGGATTTTCCTTTTAGAGGAGCAGGAGTTTCCCCTTAAAAGAGCAGGAATCTCCTCCTAGAGGAGCAGAATTTTCCTCTTAGAAGAGCAGGATTTTCCTCTTAGAGGAGCAGACTTTTCCTCTTAGGGAAGCAGGATTTTCATCCCTTAAAAGAGCAGGATTTTCCTCTTAAAGGAACAGAGTTTTCTTCTTAAAAGAGCAGGATTTTCCTCTCAGAGGAGCAGGATTTTCATCCTTTAAAAGGGCAGGGTTTGCCACTTAAAAGGACATGAGTTTCATCTCTTAAAAGAGCAGGATTTTAATCTCTTAAAAGAGCAGGATTTTCCTTTTAGACTAGCAAGATTTTCCTCTTAATAGAGCAGGAATTGCCTCTTAAAGGAACAGAATTTTCTTCTTAAAAGAGCAGAATTTTCATCCCTTAAAAGAGCAGGATTTTCCTCTTAGAGAAGGAGTTTCCTCTTAAAAGAGCAGAAATCTCCTCCTAGAGGAGCAGAATTTTCCTCTCAGAGGAGCAGGATTTTCCTCTTAGAGGAGCAGACCTTTCCTATTAGAGGAGCAGGATTTTCATCCCTTAAAAGAGCAAAATTTTCCTCTTAAAGGAACAGAATTTTCTTCTTAAAAGAGCAGAATTTTCCTCTCAGAGGAGCAGGATTTTCATCCTTTAAAGGAGCAAGATTTTCATCTCTTAAAAGAGCAAGATTTTCCTTTTAGAGGAGCAGGAGTTTCCACTTTAAAAAGTAGAATTTTCCTCTTAAAGGAACTGAATTTTCCTCTAAAAGAGCAGGAGTTTCCTCTTAGAAGAGCCTGAGTTTCATCTCTTAAAAGAGCAGGATTTTCCTTTTAGACTAGCAAGATTTTCCTCTTAAAAGAGCAGCAGTATTTTCCTCTTAAAGGAACACAATTTTCCTCTTAAAAGAGCAGGATTTTCCTCTCAGAGAAGCAGGATTTTCATTCCTTAAAAGAGCAGGATTTTCCTCTTAAAAGAGCAGGATTTTCCTCTCAGAGAAGCAGGATTTTCATTCCTTAAAAGAGCAGGATTTTCCTCTTAAAGGAGCAGGATTTTCCTTTTAGAGGAGCAGGAGTTTCCACTTTAAAAAGTAGAATTTTCCTCTTAAAGGAACTGAATTTTCCTCTTAAAAGAGCAGGAATCTCCTCCTAGAGGAGCAGGATTTTCCCCTTAAAAGAGCAGGATTTTAATCTCTTAAAATAGCAGGATTTTCCTTTTAGAGTAGCAGGATTTTCCTCTTAAAAGAGCAGGATTTTCCTCTTAAAGGAACAGAATTTTCCTCTTAAAGGAACAGAATTTTCCTCTTAAAAGAGCAGGATTTTCCTCTTAAAGGAACAGAATTTTCCTCTTAAAAGAGCAGGATTTTCCTCTCAGAGAAGCAGGATTTTCATCCCTAGGGGGAGCAGGATTTTCCAGAGGAATGGAGCAGCTGTGCTTGTGGGGTATCCAGGGAAGCAGAGCTGTTCTCCACGGGGGAGACATCCCAAATTAAAGTAATTAAAGTAATTAAATTCCAAGTTGGTGTGTCCTCAGCTGAGGGATCAGGGGAGCCCCCAGCATCCCAGAGCAGAATTCCAAATCCAGCACAGCCATTCCCACGTGGATTTGGAAAGCTGGGATTTGTTGGCTCCGGAGTTTTTCCCCCTCACACAGGTGCCAGTGCAGTGCTTTGCATCATTTCCCTCATCCCTCTGAAATCCGTGAAAATTCCATTCTGGATAAAGCTCGAAATTCATTTTTTACACTTTTCTCCAGTCTGCACGTGGTCAGGAGTGGGAGGTTCTTGGGATAAACATAAAACATTGGGGTCTGCTGAGATATTTCCAAGCCTGAATTCTTGAATTAAAATAATTCCTTTAAAACTTGGAACAGAGGAGCGGCTTCCATAGGGCTGGAGCAGTTTTGCAGGAAATAAAAATTATTCCAGTGGGTTTTTTTCGTGCATTTCCTATGAGGAATGTTTTTTCCTTGTTTCAGGAGGAGCCAGCCCAGGAGGAGCTGGTGGACGCCAGGATCACCCCCAGCCCTCGCCAGGAGCTCGGCTGTCCCAGCAAATCCCCGGATGCGCCGGGCACGGAAAAGTCCGGGAGCCGAGCCCCGAATTCCAGCACAGCTCCAAGGACAGACCCCCCGAGTGCTCCTCAGGAAAAGGGGGAGCAGCAGCAGCAGGAAAAGCAGCGGGAAGCAGGCTCAGGGAGTGGCCCTGGCCCTCCCGAGGATGAGGAGGCAACGGGAGGCTCTGGGCATTCCCTGGAAGTCGAGGATGGCGCTGATCCGCATCCTGCCCGTGATTCCACGGCCTTGGAAGCAGATCCTGGAAATGCAGAGCCTGGGGGAGGTGCTGAGGAAGGGCAGGAATCCCAGGAGCCCGCGGAGCCCTCGGAAAAGGAGGAGAGGGTGGAGGAGGAGGAGGAGGAGGAGAAGGAAGAGAACGAGGAGTTGGAGGATGAAAGTCCCTTCGTGGGCCCCGTGGGTTTGGTGCTGTCCGAGAGCAGCGACGCCGAGATGGAATGCGAGCAGAATCCAGGGAATTCTGCATCTCCAGAGGAGTTTGGTGCTCCTGAGGAGGACCCCATGCCCAGCCCCACCTCCCTGGCACCCCCCTGCCCTGACAGATCCTCCCCAGCACCCTCAGACGGGGCTGGGACCGACCCTGGCTGCTTTCCTGAGGAGATGTCACCAAACCAGGAGGAGCTCCCAGATCCCTGGGACGCTCCGGGCACGCCGGATTCGGAGGCAGACGGGCTTGGAGCGGCCAGTCCGGCCGAGGTGGGGTCACCCCACAGCCACAGCGGGGAGCTGCCAGTGCCCCCTGAGCCCGGCCCCGTGCGCGGGGCGCAGCCCCACAGCGTTACCCACAGCCCGGGGGCCGCTGGAGCCGCGCTGGGGAGCGGCTCGGAGCGCAGGATCCGGGACCGGGCGGCCTCCGGAGAAAGGTGGGAGCCTGCCGGGAGCCGGGGAATGAGCCTGGCCCTGTCCCCCGACTCCAGCTCCGCCTGCCCGACCTCTCCCGATGGCTCCGTGCATCCGGAGGATGGGCCCGTGGAGAGCGCCGCCGATCCCGACCCCGATTCCCCGGACGCCGAGGAGCCCAACGGAGGCAGGAACGGGGTTTTGCTGGAGGAGCAGCAGGGGAGCCCCTCTGGCAACGGCACGGAGGAGCTGGATGATCTCCTGGGAGCAGGAGGTGGCAGGGATTCCCCCTTTGGCTCCACAGACGTAGGAGATGACTTCGGAGCTGAGGAGAGCGAGGATGTGTTCCCTGGGGCAGGGAATTCCCCTGGGAATGGCACCACCAACACGGAGATGCCTCTCCACCATCGCCTCCTGGAATCGGAGCCCTCCTCCTCCGTCAGCTCAGTCATCCAGGAGCTCCCCAGGCAGGAGCGGAGCTTCCCAAACATCCACGGGGACTCGGCTCCAGCTTCTCCCGCCGCCGGACACTCCGACCCCGGCGTTCCCGCCGTGCCTGGCCGGCGCAGGTCGGTGCTGTGCCGCCTCTGGAGGCCGTGCCGGGAGGCGAGCGTGGCCGCCTGGAGCCCGCGTGGCTCCTTCCATCCCAGCTGTTCCCAGGAGCTGCTGGAGCCCCGGGCTCCCGGCTCCCCCGTGGAGGTGGCAGCACAGCCGGGATCTGCTCCTCCTTCTCCCTGCGAGCCGTGGGACCATCCGGAGGCTCCGGAGCCGGGCTCGGAGGCGCTCCCCGGGATGCTCCCTCCCACTCCGGACAGTGCCCAGTGGGCCGGGAGCCCTGGTAGCCCCAGGAGCAGCTCCAGGAGCCAGGGAAGCCCCAGGAGCCGTGGTAGCCCCAGGAGCAGCTCCAGGAGCCAGGGAAGCCCCAGGAGCCGTGGTAGCCCCAGGAGCAGCGCCAGGAGCCAGGGAAGCCCCAGGAATTTTGTCAGCCCCAGGAGCTGTGGCAGTCCTGGAAGCTATGGTAGCCCCAGGAGCTATGGTAGCCCCAGGAACTATGTCAGCCCCAGGAGCAGCCCCAGGAGCTATGATAGCCCCGGGAATTGTGTCAGCCCCAGGAGCCATGGTAGCCCTGGAATCCATGGCAGTCCTGGAAGCTATGGTAGCCCCAGGAGCTATGGTAGCCCCAGGAATTGTGTCAGCCCCAGGAGCCGTGTCAGCCCCAGGAGCCATGGTAGCCCTGGAATCCATGGCAGTCCTGGAAGCTATGGTAGCCCCAGGAATTGTGTCAGCCCCAGGAACTGTGTCAGCCCCAGGAGCAGCCCCGGGAGCTATGGCAGCCCCAGGAGCTGTGTCAGCCCCAGGACCCATGTCAGTCCTGGAATCCATGGTAGCCCCAGAAACCATGGTAGCCCCGGGGTCCGTGGCAGTCCTGGCAGGTGTGGTAGCCCCAGGACCCATGTCAGTCCTGGAATCCATGGTAGCCCCAGGATCCCTGGCAGTTCTGGAAGCTATGGTAGCCCCATAAACCATGGCAGCCCCGGGGTCTGTGGCAGTCCTGGCAGGTGTGATAGCCTTGGGAGTGGTGGTAGTCCTGGGAGCCGTGGCAGCCCCATGGGCTGTGGTAGCCCTAAGAGGGGTGGTAGCCCCAGTAGCCATGGCAGCCCTGGGAATTGTGTCAGCCCCAGGAGCCACGGCAGCCCCAGGAGCCGTGGCAGCCCCAGGAGCTATGGTAGCCCTGGGAGCAGCTCCAGGAGCCACGGTAGCCCCAGTAGCCATGGCAGCCCAGGGAATTGTGTCAGCCCCAGGAGCCGTGGTAGCCCGGGGAGCAGCCCCAGGAGCCATGGCAGCCCCAGGAGCCGTGGTAGCCCCAGGAGACAAGGTAGCCCTGGGAGCAGCTCCAGGAGCCGTGGCAGCCCCAGGAGACAGGGTAGTCCTGTGAGCAGCTCCAGGAGCCATGGTAGCCCCAGGAGCCACGGCAGCCCCAGGAGCCACGGCAGCCCTGGGAGCAGCTCCAGGAGCCATGGCAGCCCCAGGAGCCAGGCAGGGGATGCCGGGGAGGAGCCCTTCCCGCCGGAGGACCCGGAAGGAGGCAGCATTCCCAGTCCTGCACCTTCCCCAGCCTGGGAGTGCCCCCTGTGCGAGCCCTGGGACGTGTGTGAGCACAGCCCCCAGGGCTCCCAGGCGTTCGATCCCGACTGCGCCGAGGTGGGACAGGGAGAGATTCCCGCTTCTCCCGTCCCGTGGGACGAGCCCAGGGATCTCTCTGGAGAAAACCTGGAGGATATTCTGGATCTGCTCCCAAGCGAAGAGCAGCTCCCAAGCCAAGACACACACGAGGACTTGGCCTTTGAAGATCCATTGGAGAATTCCTTTGGTGGCTCAGAGCAGGAATATTTTGAGGGGAATTCTCACTCCCCTCTTCCCGGCACCTGCATCATGAGACCCGTGGATGCTGCAGGAGCAAGGACTCCCCGGGACATCTCCTCCAGGAGCTCCGTGCGCGCGGCGCGGCGCGGGGAGGCCGGGGCCTGGCCCGTGCCCGGGCATTGCGGGAGCTCGGTGGTCACCGGGCAGTGCCAGGAGAGGGTGGAACCCTCCCAACTTCCCAGGAGGCACGGCCGCCGCGCCCAGGAGTCTCACCTGGCCCGCGCCCTGACGGCGACCTGGAGGGACTTCGAGGAGATCACCCAGAACACTTTGGACATGGAGTGCCTCCGCTTCCACTATAAGCTAAAAGAAATCCTAAGGAAGGGCAGAGCCCCCTTTTCTACCTCCCAAAGCATCTTCCCAGCGGCCTCCTCCCCGCGCAGCAGGAGCCCCTTGCAGGTGACCGTTCCGTCCTCGGCCGCGTGGCACCACGGGGACGCCGGGCGGCGCCGGGCCGGCAGCCGGGAGCGCGCGGCTCCGGCGCGCCTGGGCAAGCCGCGGTACGAGCGCGCCCCGCCGGAGCCGCGCGGGGCCGTGGCCGGCATCCTGGAGGAGTTCTCCGAGTTCCAGAGGCTGCTGCCGGCCGGGAGCGGCCGGGCGGGCGCGGCACGGCCCCGCGGGGCGGCGGCGATCCGGGCGGCGGCGGCGGAGCTGCGCGGGGCCCTGCGCTGCCACCTGCGCCGCGTGGCCGCCGGCGGGCGGCCCGGGATGTTCTACCTGCTGGAGACCGGGAAGGAGCCCTTCTTCGACAGGGCCAAGGTGGGAGCTGCTCCTGGATTGGGGAAGGGATTGGGGTGGATGGGGATGGATGGGCGCAGATTGGAATGGGTGGGGATGGGCTGGGGGGGGTGAGATGGGTGGGGATGGATTGGGGTGGATTTGGATGCATTGGAATGAATTGGGATGGATTGAGATGGATGGGGATGGATTTGGATGCATTGGGATGAATTGAGATGGATGGGGATGGATTGGGGTGGATGGGGATGGATTTGAATGCATTGGGATGGATTGGAATGAATTGGGATGGATTGAGATGAACTGGGATGGATTTGGATGCATTGGGATGAACTGGGATGGATGGGGATGGATTGAGATGGATGGGGATGGATCGGCATGGATAGGGATGGATTGGGGTGAATTGGAATGGATTGGGATGGATTTGAATGCATTGGGATGGATTGGAATGAATTGGGATGGATTGAGATGAACTGGGATGGATGGGGATGGATTGGGATGAACTGGGGTGGATGGGGATGGATTGGCATGGATGGGGATGGATTGGGGTGGATGGGGATGGATCTGGATG